GATGCCATGTTTTTTTCATGGAGATTCTCTTTTTTGTAGGTTGGCCATCGGCCTAATATGGCCTAATTATGCCTAATTAGTAATGTCCCAAAAGAGCTTGTTGCAGAACCCTGACTTCTCAGGAAGCTGCCGCAGACATTTCTTCAGACACAGACAGCTTTCCAGTTCCAGTTCCACACATCTGGCTTGCGGGAGATAGTCCAGGTGGTCGGACTCACGTGCCGAAAATGGCGAAGATGTCGGACTCACTACGTTGAGGAACCGTTCGGCATGAGAATGGATGTGGCAGACGTGTTTCCTGCAGATCCGCAAATAGAGAGAAGTTCGTAGACCCCCACAAACACTGTGGTGGAAACCGTGCCACTATCTATTTGCGGACCACTACACTCGTTCTTGGGTGAATCCTAGCACTTGGAACAACTGACGGGGTGTATCGATCGGCATATTGGCGAATGTCCAGCTATCTTCAAAGAAGAGGGTCCATATCTTGACACACAACACCCAGTTTTTATTTCGAGATCCAAGTACATGGTTACATCGGTCTCGAAGGTCTTTGGACGCTTTGGACCGGACCTCTCGCTTCGCAGCCCCCGTAACGCCGTAACGCGAAGCGGCGTAAAGCGGTGCGAAGCCTTCGCGGATGTGCCGCCAGTTCCGGTGGTTCTGGATCGACCGGGTCGAAGGGTCTGGTCCAGCAGAGGTGGGTCAGAACCCTAGATAGACTATATCCTGAGTAGGTACCCCAAGTAGCTCGGGTCCGAACGTTCAGGTCACTGGCTACCTCTCTTGGGTCTCCGGAGAACGGTCCGTCCCGAAAATGGGGCCCACGCCATCCACTTCCACCCGGATGTTCAGGGCAAACGCCAGGGGTGACCAGGTCTACCAAGCTATTTCTGCGACTGCTGCTATTTGGCCCCAGCGCTTTCGGCAATTCTTGCGACGTGTTCACAGCTTGCTGCTCTCCCAACTACTTGGCCCCTTGGATCCAAAAGGCGGCCAGGTCCGCAGTCCCGAGGTCCGCAGTCCTGGTCTCGAAGGCACCGGACTTCTGGTGCCATTCCGTCGCGCGTGAAGCAGGAAATGCTTCCAGAGTGGCCTAAACGGTGCTGAGTTCCGGGAAGACGAACTAAAGTTGCTGAGTTCCGGGGGCGCCCCAAACGCTCTCGAACGGTCCATAACATCCAGCCACCATTCGCTTCCGCCAAGGACAAGCATGGAGAACCTTGAGGTCGGCATGCGGCTCCACGCCATGTACGCGGCGGATGGCGAGTTCTATCCGGCGGAGCAGCTCAGATGGCAAGTGCTGTAGTTGCCGATGGTTACTTACATTTTACCCCACTCGGAATGATCTCTGATGTAAGTTAACTATTCCATAGGATGGATGCCTTAGGATCTCTTAAGTATGCCTTAGGATGGCATTCCTATTCCATAGATGCATGCCTTAGGGATCAATGTCTCCTCTGGAATTGCTGGGTGCTTCCCGAAATCGCTTTGTGCTATCAACAATCCAAACATGTGGATCACAGACAGGAAGGTGGTGAGGGAACAGAGCTCGTACTTCTTGCGAACTGCGGAAGAATGTCCGAAACATTGCTGGAGAGCTTCTGGATATCAAAGTATTGACCGTGTGTTATTCATATTCATTGCAGTGCAGGAGAAGAACTCTTCCAGCAACAGGACAAAGGATTCACCTTGGCCGCGAGTCAAAACTCACAGCGCCATGAGCGCGGCACGTAGATTAACAAAAACAAACAAACAAAAGACTAAAACAATTATAAGACAAAGACCAAACAAACAAAGCAAACCAACAAACGAACAATCAAATAAACGCGCACACACACACAACACATTCCTTAAGTAGCTGAGGACGGCGCA